GAAGCCAGGGCCAGTGCTCATGGAAGAAGCAAAAGAGGTACCCATATAAAATCTTACTAGTTAATATTACAATGTTTCCCTAAATGTACTTTGAAATTATGACTATCTAAAACAGTAGCTATGTTGATTGTGAAAGTTTCTAATTTTTTTTTTTTTTTTTTTTTTTGTTAGCATGATATATATGTGCATGCATACCTCCATTAACCTTTTATAATTATGGCAAAGAGTATTGCTGGCTGGAAACATATTAATCATGTTAGAATATAAATAATTTTGTTGATCTTTTACCTATGAGTTTAAGCTAATCACACTTCCTTGACCCTACATAGGGGTTCTTTATCCATTGGAGTAAGAAATGGTTGCCATGCCTGCTGATGCTTGCTACAAATTTATGTATTCGTAAATTTGTGAACTGATGTCAACATGCAACCAGTCCCATGTAAAAATCAGTTTTAAAATCAAGCAATGGAGTTTTAATTCTTTATTAGCTTTTAATTTGCTTCTGGTGTTTTGTTAGTGAACTTAAGAATTTGTAACATGTTTTTTCTTACACTGTATATCTAGAGAAAGGTATCTTGTCAAGAAATTTGGTATTTAACATGACATGTATTCCTCTTTACCTGCTTCCATACTAGAGAATATCAGAAAAATTCTTTCTATGACAACAGTCTTTATTTCTGCATTAAATTTTAAAATTATGTAGCCATTCTTATTTAATTTTTTGTATCTGATGTGCAGGTTGCCTCTTTCCTATGTTACCAAGAGAAGATGAATGTTCTTGTTGAACCAGATGTCCATGACATATTTGCTAGAATTCCAGGGTTTGGATTTGTTCAGACCTTTTATACTCAAGATACCAGGTAAAGATAACGTCATCTAATGCACAGCGATTCTATTGTATAATGTAATGCTCTTCTTGCCTCATTGCCCTGTTGCATGCCATTAATACAGTGATCTTCATGAGAGGGTTGATTTTGTGGCATGCTTGGGGGGTGATGGTGTCATACTCCATGCATCAAATTTATTCAGAGATGCTGTACCACCTGTTGTATCGTTTAATCTCGGATCTCTAGGATTTCTCACTTCCCATACTGTAAGTTTGCAGCTCAACTCTTTCTTTTTACTGTTACTACTTTGTTTTATAAATTTGGTCATTTATTTGACAGCTTATGTGTTTGAATTTTTAATTTTGATTTTTGTTTATGACATAGTTTGAAGACTACAGGCAGGACTTAAGGCAGGTCATTCATGGGAATAACTCACTGGATGGTGTTTATATAACTCTTAGAATGCGGCTACGCTGTGAAATTTTTCGCAATGGTAAAGCAATGCCTGGGAAAGTTTTTGATGTCCTAAATGAGATAGTTGTTGACCGTGGTTCTAATCCATACCTTTCTAAGATTGAATGTTATGAACATGACCGACTGATAACCAAGGTGAGGTATCAATCTAACTCTCTAAATAAGAAAAATTGTTCAATCATGCCTCAACTTTCATTTGAGCAGAGTCTGCTTGCTTAACTAACACATGCAAAATTCAAGTTCTATTTAGTCCATCTTGACAATCATCATCTATGTATATTCCATGGATCTAAACCTTTGGTTCTTTAATTATAATGGTATGCTCTTATTGTCAATGTCTCAATTTAGGTGCAAGGTGATGGAGTCATAGTAGCCACACCTACAGGAAGTACTGCTTACTCTACAGCTGCAGGAGGTTCCATGGTAAGCTTTCTTTTGAGTTGTGGAGTTACAAATTTATGATATGCAGAATCCATCTGTTAAGATGATTTTTATGGTAGGGAATTCTTCCCCAATTTCGTTGCTTCAAAAGAAAATTGTAAATTCACTTGAGAGAAACTGTTAATGTTCCTGGTTTCTAATGTAAGGACCCTTGATTTTATTTACTTGCAGTTGCTATGAGATTGATGGAGTGTTTGATTATGGAATGATTGGCTTGGCTTATCAAGATCTAAATTTTCTGTTGTTTACAGTTGAAAAAAGAAAAAATTTAATTTGAAAAGATGACACTACACAAATTTAAATTAAGGTCATATTTCCAGTGAAACACTTTTATGATGACTTTTTTCGGTATGGAAGCAGGAATTGGATGCCTCTGAAAAAGTATTACCTAGTTCTTTACTTAAGATTATCTTGAATTCTCTACAAAGTAGATTTCATGGAGAAAAATCTTGCTTTGGCACTACATACATTTTATGAGCCTTGCTTTGGCAACAAATTCATTGTAGTAGAATTTTCAGGCAGCTGAACGCTTCATGCTGCTCTGATGGATACATTATGCAATCCGTTGACTGGCGAATGTATGTTTCATATGATTTCACCCCAGAGGAAAACCATTGTTGGAAGACAAAATAGTTTCCGTGCTTGGCTGCATGCTATCTCTTTTAAGTAAAGGAAGAGAGGATGTTCTTCAGAAGATCTTCAAATGCCTTTCGTATACAGATGTAAGCATGATGGAGGACAAGCTTCCCCCCACCGCCATCTTCCGGGTGAGATAAAAGTGTTTGCGAGAGCTTGCACATTGCTCTTGAAAATTATTGACATCTGAAGATGCTCGAAGCTTGATGTGTGGAGAAAATTGCAGAGGCTGAAATGTCTGCTATGATTCTGGATTTCCCCGTGGATGGATTATCCCTGCCATACCTTATTTGCAAATTGGATTCCTGTTTATTTATCCACCTTAAAGAAGATACAGGATCCAAAGATTCTGAAATTGCTTTTTGGCGAGGTGGTCAGTAACAGAAGAAGTTTTGAAGTGGTTAATGGAGAGTGGATTTAAAACAATTGTAGATATGAGGGCGGAGATGGTAAAAGATACATTTATAAAGCAGCTATAGATGATGCTGTTTTGTCTGGGAAAGTTGAATTGGTTAAAATTCCAGTTAAGTTGGGACTGCTCCGTCAATGGAGCAGGTTAGAAATTTGCATCTCTGGTTTCAGATTGCAGCAAAAAGCCTCTGTTCTTCACAGTAAGGAAGGGGTGTGGAACCTCTGCCATGGTCTCCAGATGCGTCAGTATATGACTCGCTGTGCATCACAACATAACTAATCAGACAGTAACTTCAAATGATGTCTCATTATTAGATACAGACGGAAGGGTAGGACTAACTGCATCTACCATTAGAAAAATAGGTCTGTCCTGGAGAAGGAATACAAAGTGACACAAGAGAAGTTGGTTGAGGTGCCACACTACAAATGGATCATTTCACAAAGAAGTTACATCAGCCAAGGATGAAGAAAATCAGAGTAATGGGGCATATGAAGCCTTATTCTATTAAAGGTGTAGAATCGTTGAAACAGTTGGAAATGGGTGGAATCTGTTGGGCAATTCTGCAGGGAAACTGATCCTCTAAGGCTCAGGTCCCCCTTGTAATTTTTTCTCCAAAAAAGAGATGTCCAGGTTTTTCAGGAGTAAAAAGATATCACCTAGAATATTTTAATTATCCAGTGAAGAGGTTGGAAATGTTGCCAGGTGAGCTTGTTTATCTAGTCCCGTTTCAGGACCTGCAGACAAGAAATCCCAATGGTTCAGTTAGCGATCAAATCTATCTGCAGAGCATCAGAGCCACCTGCTGAAAGACTGAAGTATTTGGATGGTGATAGTTATGCTTCGGTTGATTCAAGTGTGAATGGTTTTGTAAAGGGACAGGGATTGCAGGACTGAAACTGTTGCCTCTACCTCTGTGAGTAACAACTTAAATGGGCATGTCATATCTAAACCTGTTAAGGAGGATCGGGAGCACAGAAAAGCCTCAACTTCTGTTGCAGCGAATTATCCTCAAGGACCTCGTAATTTCTTTAATTATATATATAAAGTAAATGATTTTTTTCTACTCAAATTATGGTTTAATGACACTTTTTTTTATCAAATAATAACTTAATGATAGTTTCTCCATCAAATAATGATTGAATGACACTTTTCCCTCCAAATTTTTTTAAAATACCATTTTACTAATCAAATTTATATTCTATTTTCGATTTCGACATTATTGCAATTTCATACTATCATCATTCTCTTCCCAAATCATCACTTACTAAAACTTCTCAAACCCTACTCTTGTCGATCTCGTCAATTGTTAATAATCGAGCGATTAGAGTTTGTGCAACCGTCTATCTTAAGCCAAAATTTTATTTAATCATAACCATTAAAATCTAATCTTTTACCACCAAAAGACTTATCGGCCTCCTCTCTTAAAAAAATCCTAATAGTTTGGATCAAGTTTTTTTCTGTTTGTTGTTGGAATATAAATTTGGATAATAGAATGATATTTTAAAAGCCTGTGAGTAGAAAAATGTCATTAGCTATTATTTGGGTGGAAAAAAGTCATTAACCCTTATATATATTAAAAATAATAAATTATTTTTTTAATCTTATATTTTAGTAAAAGATTTCGTAATCACATCTTTTGAGTTGGTTAATGCAAAAGAAACGATTTTCAACAAAAATTTAAATATTAACATAGTCTTGTAATAAGAAAAAGTGAATTTAGTTAATCTTTTTTAATTAATCGAAAAATACTATATTAAGAAGAAACCTAACTGTTGTAGCTGTAGCTAGCTTTCTAGTTGGCGTTGCATAATTAGCATTTAGCACCGCTATATATTTCAATTTTCAATACAAATATGATTCTGCCACTGCCACTTGTCAACCATCAAGGAGTTTCAAAATTTTGATTATCAATTTGATTTTGTCGATTTTTATTTAAAAAATCTGCTTACTTCTCTTACAGGACGGAGGTTTTAAGCGATTCTAATTTTTATCATTTTTTTCTTCGATAAAATTCCTCACATGCATTGAGAAAGATTCCATTGGCTTGAATTATGTTAAATCACATAAATGTAGTGGCCGCAGAATTTACATGTTAAAAAGCGGATAAATCATAAATATATAAACGGGCGTAGGGGTAGGACCCAAAGCTGATTGATCCAGGACTAGAAGCACAAAGCATCACATCAAAAGCACACAACACCAAAATCAAATCAAACACCAGCACAACACAAAACTCAAATGACACCAAAGGAACTGAAAAAACTCTTCAACCACCAATAATACTACTCTGCTTAATCTCAAATCGATCCAATTCGATATTATCCACAACAACTTGTGTTGGCATGTCTCTTCTTGCGCCATGTGGCTCTTAGTAGACATGCAACGCCTCTCCCCTCCGCTCACCGGAATTTTATGCCCCTCTAAGCTCCCTAACGAGACCAAGTTCTTTGGTTTCGGGTTTAAGTTACATAGGAAAGATGGGTTCAAAAAGAAGATTAAGTTTGTAGTGAGTGCGGAGTTATCCAATTCGTTTTCTCAGAATTTGGGTTTGGACTCTCAGGTCAGTTTGGTTTTGCTGTTTCTTGAATTGGTTGGTTTTTATTTATTTATTTATTTTTTGTTTTCTGGCTTTTTTGTGAATTTTTTTTTTCTCGGTTTAATGTAATGGTGTTTGATGAAATGACTGATAGGGTTGTTTTCTGAATGCTGTTTTGTGAATTGCAATTGGGTTATGACGTTTAGATGATGGGGTTCATTTTGGTGGCAACTGAATAAAATATGGGGTGTCTTTTTTGATCTAGAAAGTTGGTTCTGTTCACACTGTGAAACTTGTTGATACTTTAGATACGAGTAAATAAGCTGATGGGTCACTTTCCGTTTGTTTAAAATTCTTTCTGATTGAGCACTGTGTAATAGTTGGAGCTCTGGACATGGTTTCAGTAGCTCCATGCACTTGAGGATGTGGTGTTCTATGGAAGACTTCTCACATTGCCTATTCTTCATTTGGTTCTTGTGTGAGGGAAAAGAAAGGTATCTGCTTGGTTGATTAGTAGCTTTTATAATATTTTTCTTTATTTACAGTCCAAAATAAAACCTGAAATAGCCATTCACAAGAATTATTAAAGTTCATCCTTTGATCATCTGGGTACTTTCCCCTCTCACTGTATTGCAACAAAAATAGCAAAACTTCTTTAAATGCTTTCAGTTTCTACACTTTTGTGGCCTTACATACTTATGTGACCTCACTGCCTTAATATGCTGGTGCTGGCATTTGTATCCGAGTTGTAATGCTATATTTTTCCCCTCACTGGGTTTAGTTTATGGTTTCAGTTCATTCCTTTTGTGAAATTGAGTAAGCAGTTTTCATATAAAAGTTTTGTACTGCTGACTGACACTTTTTTGGTTTAAATAGAAGGCTGTCCAGTCTAATGATCCAACACAGTTGCCTTGGATTGGTCCTGTTCCTGGGGAGATTGCAGAAGTTGAGGCATATTGTAGAATTTTCAGGGCAGCTGAACGGCTTCATGCTGCTCTGATGGATACATTATGCAATCCGTTGACTGGCGAATGTAGTGTTTCATATGATTTCACACCAGAGGAAAAACCATTGTTGGAAGACAAAATAGTTTCTGTGCTTGGCTGCATGCTATCTCTTTTAAGTAAAGGAAGAGAGGATGTTCTTTCAGGAAGATCTTCAAATGCCTTTCGTATAGCAGATGTAAGCATGATGGAGGACAAGCTTCCACCACTCGCCATCTTCCGGGGTGAGATGAAAAGGTGTTGCGAGAGCTTGCACATTGCTCTTGAAAATTATTTGACATCTGAAGATGTTCGAAGCTTGGATGTGTGGAGAAAATTGCAGAGGCTGAAGAATGTCTGCTACGATTCTGGATTTCCCCGTGGAGATGATTATCCCTGCCATACTTTATTTGCAAATTGGATTCCTGTTTATTTATCCACCTCTAAAGAAGATACAGGATCCAAAGATTCTGAGATTGCTTTTTGGCGAGGTGGTCAGGTAACAGAAGAAGGTTTGAAGTGGTTAATGGAGAGAGGATTTAAAACAATTGTAGATATGAGGGCGGAGATGGTAAAAGATAACATTTATGAAGCAGCTATAGATGATGCTGTTTTGTCAGGGAAAGTTGACTTGGTTAAAATTCCAGTTGAAGTTGGGACTGCTCCGTCAATGGAGCAGGTTGAGAAATTTGCATCTCTGGTTTCAGATTGCAGCAAAAAGCCTCTGTATCTTCACAGTAAGGAAGGGGTGTGGAGAACCTCTGCCATGGTCTCCAGATGGCGTCAGTACATGACTCGCTGTGCATCACAAATCATAACTAATCAGACAGTAACTTCAAATGATGTCTCATTATTAGATACAGACGGAAGGGTAGGACTAACTGCATCTACCATTGAAGAAAATAGGTCTGTCCTGGAGAAGGAATACAAAGTGACACAAGAGAAGTTGGTTGAGGTGCACACTACAAATGGATCATTTCACAAAGAAGTTACATCAGCCAAGGATGAAGAAAATCAGAGTAATGGGGCATATGAAAGCCTTAATTCTATTAAAGGTGTAGAATCGTTGAAAACAGTTGGAAATGGGGTGGAATCTGTTGGGCAATTCTGCAGGGAAACTGATCCTCTAAAGGCTCAGGTCCCTCCTTGTAATTTTTTCTCCAAAAAAGAGATGTCCAGGTTTTTCAGGAGTAAAAAGATATCACCTCCGAGATATTTTAATTATCCAGTGAAGAGGTTGGAAATGTTGCCAGGTGAGCTTGTTTATTCTAGTCCCGTTTCAGGACCTGCAGAGACAAGAAATCCCAATGGTTCAGTTAGCGATCAAAATCTATCTGCAGAGCATCAGAGCTCACCTGCTGAAAGACTGAAGTATTTGGATGGTGATAGTTATGCTTCGGTTGATTCAAGTGTGAATGGGTTTGGTAAAGGGGACAGGGATTGCATGACTGAAACTGTTGCCTCTACCTCTGTGAGTAACAACTTAAATGGGCATGTCATATCTAAACCTGTTAAGGAGGATCGGAGGAGCAACAGAAAAGCCTCAACTTCTGGTGATGAAGACTCGGAACAAATTGAAGGGAATATGTGTGCTTCTGCAACTGGTGTTGTGAGGGTGCAGTCAAGAAAGAAAGCTGAGATGTTTTTAGTGCGAACAGATGGATTCTCATGTACGCGAGAGAAGGTGACTGAATCTTCCTTGGCTTTCACTCATCCTAGTACACAGCAGCAGATGCTTATGTGGAAATCTACACCAAAGACAGTATTATTGTTGAAGAAGCCAGGGCCAGTGCTCATGGAAGAAGCAAAAGAGGTACCCATATAAAATCTTACTAGTTAATATTACAATGTTTCCCTAAATGTACTTTGAAATTATGACTATCTAAAACAGTAGCTATGTTGATTGTGAAAGTTTCTAATTTTTTTTTTTTTTTTTTTTTTTGTTAGCATGATATATATGTGCATGCATACCTCCATTAACCTTTTATAATTATGGCAAAGAGTATTGCTGGCTGGAAACATATTAATCATGTTAGAATATAAATAATTTTGTTGATCTTTTACCTATGAGTTTAAGCTAATCACACTTCCTTGACCCTACATAGGGGTTCTTTATCCATTGGAGTAAGAAATGGTTGCCATGCCTGCTGATGCTTGCTACAAATTTATGTATTCGTAAATTTGTGAACTGATGTCAACATGCAACCAGTCCCATGTAAAAATCAGTTTTAAAATCAAGCAATGGAGTTTTAATTCTTTATTAGCTTTTAATTTGCTTCTGGTGTTTTGTTAGTGAACTTAAGAATTTGTAACATGTTTTTTCTTACACTGTATATCTAGAGAAAGGTATCTTGTCAAGAAATTTGGTATTTAACATGACATGTATTCCTCTTTACCTGCTTCCATACTAGAGAATATCAGAAAAATTCTTTCTATGACAACAGTCTTTATTTCTGCATTAAATTTTAAAATTATGTAGCCATTCTTATTTAATTTTTTGTATCTGATGTGCAGGTTGCCTCTTTCCTATGTTACCAAGAGAAGATGAATGTTCTTGTTGAACCAGATGTCCATGACATATTTGCTAGAATTCCAGGGTTTGGATTTGTTCAGACCTTTTATACTCAAGATACCAGGTAAAGATAACGTCATCTAATGCACAGCGATTCTATTGTATAATGTAATGCTCTTCTTGCCTCATTGCCCTGTTGCATGCCATTAATACAGTGATCTTCATGAGAGGGTTGATTTTGTGGCATGCTTGGGGGGTGATGGTGTCATACTCCATGCATCAAATTTATTCAGAGATGCTGTACCACCTGTTGTATCGTTTAATCTCGGATCTCTAGGATTTCTCACTTCCCATACTGTAAGTTTGCAGCTCAACTCTTTCTTTTTACTGTTACTACTTTGTTTTATAAATTTGGTCATTTATTTGACAGCTTATGTGTTTGAATTTTTAATTTTGATTTTTGTTTATGACATAGTTTGAAGACTACAGGCAGGACTTAAGGCAGGTCATTCATGGGAATAACTCACTGGATGGTGTTTATATAACTCTTAGAATGCGGCTACGCTGTGAAATTTTTCGCAATGGTAAAGCAATGCCTGGGAAAGTTTTTGATGTCCTAAATGAGATAGTTGTTGACCGTGGTTCTAATCCATACCTTTCTAAGATTGAATGTTATGAACATGACCGACTGATAACCAAGGTGAGGTATCAATCTAACTCTCTAAATAAGAAAAATTGTTCAATCATGCCTCAACTTTCATTTGAGCAGAGTCTGCTTGCTTAACTAACACATGCAAAATTCAAGTTCTATTTAGTCCATCTTGACAATCATCATCTATGTATATTCCATGGATCTAAACCTTTGGTTCTTTAATTATAATGGTATGCTCTTATTGTCAATGTCTCAATTTAGGTGCAAGGTGATGGAGTCATAGTAGCCACACCTACAGGAAGTACTGCTTACTCTACAGCTGCAGGAGGTTCCATGGTAAGCTTTCTTTTGAGTTGTGGAGTTACAAATTTATGATATGCAGAATCCATCTGTTAAGATGATTTTTATGGTAGGGAATTCTTCCCCAATTTCGTTGCTTCAAAAGAAAATTGTAAATTCACTTGAGAGAAACTGTTAATGTTCCTGGTTTCTAATGTAAGGACCCTTGATTTTATTTACTTGCAGTTGCTATGAGATTGATGGAGTGTTTGATTATGGAATGATTGGCTTGGCTTATCAAGATCTAAATTTTCTGTTGTTTACAGTTGAAAAAAGAAAAAATTTAATTTGAAAAGATGACACTACACAAATTTAAATTAAGGTCATATTTCCAGTGAAACATTTTTATGATGACTTTTTTCGGTATGGAAGCAGGAATTGGATGCCTCTGAAAAAGTATTACCTAGTTCTTTACTTAAGATTATCTTGAATTCTCTATAAAGTAGATTTCATGGAGAAAAATCTTGCTTTGGCACTACATACATTTTATGAGCCTTGCTTTGGCAACAAATTCATTGTATGACTGAATCCCGTTTACTTAGATATTCCAATGAATATTTTCAAGGGAAGTGATAAATTCTCTCCCCATGGATCTTCTCTATATGAATTGACAAAATGTTCTGAACATATGATAATTATTCAGTGTCATGATGATAATAAAGTAAGGATATTTCAGACAAGTTGGGGACATTTTTGTTGAGTAAGAGAACCTATTTTAGGAGGGAATTTATAATTTCCCAATAATCTGTAGTTATTTGTCATATATACTTACTGTTATCACTACATTACATATATGTTTATGTTCAAATCCAAGCGTTGTGACTGGTTGTTGCCATTTCTTTTTCTGCACGCCTCATATGTATGTCACGTTATATAATTTTTGAATGCAGGTACACCCAAACGTCTCATGTATGCTTTTTACACCAATCTGTCCACACTCCCTCTCATTTAGACCTGTAATACTTCCAGACTCTGCAAGGCTTGAATTGAAGGTAAATTTATAAATGTATCTCAGCACTTATTATTTTTAAATTTGTTGACAAGAATTGTATTAATAAAAAGGGACTCCCTAAACTGAACAAGCAGTAGCCTCGGAAAGCAAAAAGATCTATACAAATTGTGGCTAAGTATCTCCAAAGAAAAAAAAAAATCTATAAGTTTTGGAATCTAGTTCACTCTAGTTATAGCTTATTAGTTGTCCTAGGTTGAAACATTAGTTTTGAGTTGTGGAGTTCATAGACAGCATACCACAAAAGAAGAATATAGTGGTGTTGGACTAATTTGTGCCTCAGACACTTGTTAGTTGTTAGAAGAAATCAGGGTGGAGCTAATTGGTTTTATTTACATTGCTTGCTGGCTGTCAGTTTGCTTATTACATGTCAGCATCTTCATCACTATGCTGTGTTGTATGAATTTTGGGCTTAGGAATCAGAATCTAGGTTCATGTTTTTCAACCTCATCGTCCCCTTATTAGTTTAAAGAAGCTTATAATTCTTATCATTTAGTTACTTGAAAATTTATCATGGGCAAAGATGGTATGCAACTAAGTCACAAGAATCGGGGATTGTTATGCTTGAATCCAGAGTTGATCAGAGTTCTGACATTTGTGCAGGCACACAAGCATGTATATATGAAAGATTGGAGGAAAAAGAAAATTTCTTTAGACTGTTATAAGATAACTAATTGGCCACTTAATCACGTCATTATGGATGAATGTTCAGTACATCTTCCAAGTTACTCTTAATTGCATACCTTCCTGGTTGCGTTCCAGTAGATCTGATTAAATTTTTAACTTGGAGACATATATCTTAGATCTAATCAGTTTACATTTCATGTAAATGACATTCTTCAATTTGGAGGATCTAACCAGTGTTGTAAATGAACAGATTCCTGATGATGCACGGAGCAGTGCATGGGTTTCTTTTGATGGAAAGAGAAGGCAGCAACTCTCGAGAGGAGATTCTGTCAGGATATTTATGAGCCAACACCCGCTCCCAACAGTTAACAAATCTGATCAAACTTGTGACTGGTTTCACAGCTTGATTCGCTGTTTGAATTGGAATGAGAGGCTTGATCAGAAGGCCCTTTGAAGCCTTCGAAACGGATGAGAAGCAACTCCTTCCTTGATCAGGAACGGGGTTTGTGTAAATCATTGTACAGACTGTAAATGTGATAGACTAGAGAAAAATTGAAATTACAAAGAGTAAATACTATAATTACCAGCATTGGCTCCCACATGAAGATTGGGTTGGCCACATACATTTAAAATTCTTTTCTTCCTTTCAGTACTAAAAACAATAATTGTATACTGTCATTTACGTTATGATAATAGAAATCTAGTCTTACAGCCCCTTTCTGGATCTGAAAATATGATTCATAGATGCTTGCTTGATTAGGTGTACCGTTTCTTATTTATTTTATTTCTTTGAGACATGTTGTTTCAGTTTTATGTGGGAATGTATAGGAGAGAGGAAGGTTCTTAATCAAATTAAAAAAAAAAAAAAAAAAAAATGCTAGGAGTCGGCTAAAGCTATAAAAATCTCTGTTGAACTATCTGTCACTGGATTTGTCCAATGACAAGGGGGAATACTATGAATTAACATTCAGATAACAAGATTACTGCCAGATCAATGTCTTTGAATATATATATATATATATATACATTTCATGTGCTAATGTTATATCCCTATCTGGGCTAGAAAGTATCTGATCATACTTCTTTCAGTGTAATATGATTCTTCACTGGGCTGGAATTCAATTCCTTAAATAATGAGAGGCACTTTAGTTCGTGAACTAAATTGAAGGTTTGATAGGGCATCAGTAGACAGTATCTCTGTTGATGCAATATTGCATTGGAATCTTTTGGTCTATACTACCAAAAGTTATTAGTTTTTTTTTTAGGTAACTAAGGTATCCAGATCCATTAGAGCCTGTCTAATTCTCAGGGTCACGTAACATCCTACAAATCCAATAAATCATGATAATTATACAAATGTGATAGATATTTCTCTTGCTAGTAGAATATAAGACCTTGAGTATAACTAACTTTAGTAGCTAAAGGGTTTACAGTCAAAAGTTATTGTTTTTTTTTATATATCAACCAAATATGTGTTTTGCAAGTCCTTAATCCGTCGGAGACAAGCAAACCAGGCCTTAAAATTAAGCAGGATTAAGATCTTGATGATCTATGCCATTAAAACTTATGGTTTCTTTCTTTTATATAGTACAGTTTGCTTCTAAAACTGTTATCTCATAGTTCGTTTAAATAAATGAACCATGTCTAAATAGAATGAATTAAAGCAAAACTAAGCATCTTTTCACGTTTTGAATTTAGGTGCACCCTCTTTCGTTAATTATATGGAAATGTCAATGCAAGGAGAAATTCCTTAACCCACATGTTTAAATATAGACCATTATCTCTCAGGCATAATTTGACCCAGCTATACATAATGCTTCATATCAAACATTTATAGAAGAATATGCATTGAACTGTGAGGCAAAATGGGTAAATATTTGTATATTACTGTTGACTTTGAGGCATGCATGCAAGAACATGACTGCACGTAATATCCAGCTGTGGAGTCTTCTTGGAAAGAAAAAATATAGTTTCAGTACTACTGAATGGTACAATTTTTAGTACATTTCTATTTTACAAACCAAACCTTAACAACACTTAAAAACTTCGACCCCGTGCATGTTTACATAACAAGCAAGAAAGAGATCATCTTAGAAATCGAAGAAAATAAAATTAAAATCACACTAAATAATTTACTCACTTCACTTGAGCAGCTTTCTTTCCTCTCTTACACATGTAGTTAAAAGGAAGAAGCCTTTTGCCCATAGACCTTGGGAAAACCCAAAAAAATAAAAGAGATATTAAGGTGTAATAATCTTTTCGATATGAAGTTTTTGTAATTATAAAATTACGTGGCTTTCACTGCTTGGAACCTTGGTTCTTTAGGGAGGAACTTCTGCTCAGCATAAACTGACATGTAGTCCCCAAACACAAACTTGGGATAAATTTGTTCCACTTCTTGGTTAGCTTTTTCCATGAGTTCTGGTGCAGGAGCTATGGTGGCCTTGAGTGATGGATTGTAAAACGAAGCAATGGATCTCCTATTCCCATCAGGTTTAGCATTGACTCGGTGCCACACACTCTTGTACTTACCATTGCTCAGGACTTCAATCTGATCACCTGTGTTAATCACAATAGTGTTTCTCATTGGCTGGACATCGATCCATTCGCCATCTTTCAGGACTTGAAGGCCGCCCACCTTGTCATCTTGGAAGAGTAATATGACTCCCCCGGCATCGGTGTGAGCTCGAAGACCATTAACGAGCTCAGGATGAGGGCATGGCGGGTAGTGGCTCACCTTGGTTCCGAAGAAGGCATTATCTCCATCGCCATTGTTGAATGCCCTCTTGATGTAGCCCTTTGGCAACCCCAAATTCTCATCCATTACTTCCATCACTCTCTCGGCAAGTTTCTTCAACTCAGATCGGTACTCCGCCATGGTTTCCCTGTCAACAATATCACAAGTTAGATTACTTAATTATAATGAGATGTCAAAATGAAGCAAAGCTAAATTCTGTACAATATCTACTTCAATTGAACTACAAGAAATTAAAGTCTTTAAATATGAAAACGAGAGTGCTTTTTCGTGAAATTTTAAAGTGTAAAACACAAATTATGTATATTTATGGTACTGGTCAAAGAATGAACACTAAAGAAAAGGTTGAAACTTTAAGCTTACTTGAATCCAGGGGTTGCTGATGGCCATTCGTTATCATCAGTGAGAAGGAAGACATCTTCCCAATCAAAATTCTCCAACTTTTCACCACTCTTCTTCTCCGCCAACTCATTCAACTTCTTCACTTCAGCCGAGTTCTTGAATCCCTCTTCCCTCTCCAGCTTAAAGCACTCAGCGGCCACCATCTTCACCTTCTCCATAAGCTCCTCCGAAATCCCATGGTTCTCCAGCTACACCAGCCAATAATCTAGAGTTAATACTTTCATATTTTTTTTAAAAAAAAAAAAGAAAAAGGCCTCCGCAAAAGATTGAATGAATTTTGTTGAAAGGAAATTTCCCCACCGAATAGATAAACATTTTTGCATGTTATCAACTAAAAACATAAAAAATATACCTGAAAGAATCCCCATTCCTCGCAAACAGTGGCTATCTCAGCCATCGTCTTGGCCCTCTCCTCACCGTTGAGCTTCGAGAAATCGATAACCGGAATCGCCATTACTTCAGTCAAGAATATCGAATCAACCAACTAGCACAAAGAGAAAGAGAGAGAGTGAGAACTGGGTAGGTTTCGTTTGGTTTTTCGTGTAAGTAATTGTGAAGAGGAACATGCAGGAGTAGGGTTATTTATAAGAGAGGTTCCCGCCATATATTACCGGATTGTCAACTCTTTATTAATTTAATTATTTTTTCTTTTCTTTTTAATAAAGTAGCCGTTAGGGTATGGTATGGGACGGTGACATTTTATTATTTTATTTATAAATTGAAGTCAATACCAGTAATTCACAACACAAGCATACTTTTTCAGGTGATTACCTCATTAATTACCTATAATTAACCAACTAATTAGTCTTAATTCTTCTGCCACGTGGAAGTCATGGCGGGCTAGTTAGTTCTCAACTGTCTATGAGTTTCATCCTAATGATCTAACGGTTGAGATTAACTTAATCTGCCGGATAATTGGAGTTGAGATTGAAGACAAGTGGCAAGATGGCATGGCTCTCATGTGCTAGCTTTGAGTCCCCCACTCCGCTTGCTCATAAATAACTACAAATTAATTAAATAATAAAATTAACTACCTTAATTATAATTTTGTTCATCGATCTTTTCAACACATCATCTTACTTGTAACTGAAATCTCTGCCGACTAATCGACCACCGTTGATCCTGTTGACGACTCCGATGATCTTGTACCCTTTTGACATTTATACATATAACATGCTCTTCTTTGTCAAGTCATCATGTGATTAATTTGTTAATTATTAAACTAATTAATTAACTCATTTCTAGCCACTGTTTGAGGGTTAAGTAACTCCAGGTCAATACTTTTTCACCCTTAAACAAACCTCTCCCCTCCCCTCCTCACCCCATTTCATTTCATTTCATTTCATTCATCCTTATACATAACATTATAATTAAACTCTTCTCATCAACATTTTATCCATTCAGTATCTTAATAATTCTTATATTGCACAATATACAGAAATGTTATAAATACAAGAGTTTAATGATCTAACACAATACATTATAATTAAACGCTTATCATTATATTAAAATTGTCAATATTGTATCTAAAATTCGACATTATTTGATATTTTAACCTTAATGGTAACGATAAGTTATCGATTCATTTGACCAATACAATATTTTTCATTGGACAAATCTACTAATGATTCCTTATTTATGAGGCAAAACATAATACTTGAGTTTAACGATCTAAAACAATACATTATAATTAAACATTTATAATCATATAAAAGATTAACGTTATTATATCTAAAATCTGATGTGAACGATAAGGATATTTGATTGACTTGGCCAACTCAATATTCTGCATTGGATGATATCTACCGAACTAATAAACCATTATCGATTCAAAATCTTAGGGTCTGTTTGATTTGTTATTTTAGATATGATTTTAGAAATAATATTGGATAGTTGAATAGGGTGATTATTACGAGGTAAATTTTAAAAATTAAAAAAAAAAAAAAAAAAAAAAAACCCCTAGATTGCTAATTTAACTAAACACCCCAATATATAAAATTTTTGTAAAATGACAAAAACACCCCCACTCACCCACAATACCAGATTCTGGCCACCACTGCCGGAATCTGGTCAGAGTCTGGCGTTACGACGCAGACCGATCGGATTTGACCGAAAGTGCGTCAATATGACATTTTTCAGCTAGATTAGGCCGTCAGCGACGGCCAAAGATATAGGCATCGTTGTCGGTCAATGACGGCAAGAAGTTGGCTGTCGTTGACAGCTAGATCTGCGAATTACTGGCCAGTTCCAGTTGTTTGTAGGCCGTTGTGACAGATTTTGGCTACCACCAATGGTAGTTTCCGAAATCTGGCAACTATGGATGGGTGAGAGTGTTTTTGTTAATTTTTAAACTTTTTCTGGGGGTGTTTAAATAAATTAATAAATTTAAGGAGTCTAAAAATAATTAAAAAATATAATAGTACTTCCTAAATAATTAAACAAACATTTATTTTGGGAGTAAGATTGATAATATGATATGAAATAATAAACTAAACCGACCCTTAATAATTCCTTAAATTACAGTGTATAGAAACGTTATGAAGGAGGCAAAGCATAATACAAGAGA